AGTACGCGCGTGAATTTTTGGCGGTCCAAATAAAGCAGGTGTGAGCAGATCCAGTGGGCCAAGAAGGAAAACGTGTTGATCATGTGAAGGAACAACTTTGAATCATTTAAGGAAAAGCGAGAACAGGTCATGCATCTACGAGAGGAGGGGTATAAGAAGAGGAAGGGGGTAATGGTTTTGGATCCTCTCCTTACATCTTTCATTTTTCTAAAAGTTGTTTTATGTTCCTTTATTTTATGCCATGGATGCATTCTTATTTTTCTATCAGCGAAGTTCATCCTATGATGTTACTTATGCAATGTTTATGTTAGTTTGTATTTTATTTTTTCCTTTTTTTTATCTCTGAATCTGTAATTTTTAAGTTTCATTTGTTGTTTTTTATGTTTAACCCAAAGTGAGTATGAGCTAAATCACTCGTTAGGTTGGGTGAATTTTCCCCAAATTTTCTCTATGTTTTTAAAAACTGATTTTCTTATCACGATTGTCTATTCTAGTATGCTTTATAGTTAAAATTTGATTTATGATTTTCTTGCAAATGGCCAAGCAGTATAAAATGGAAAAAAATGGCCTCTATTGTAGAACATAATACTTTCTTGTCAAGCATATGTCCCTTGAATAAGAAATTATTCAAGTAGTTCTTTACTTCAAACATGAAGAAGGAAGCACATGTGAATATCTGAGCACATATTTCAAAGTTCTTCTGCTTAATCTCTTCATAGACATATGCAAGGGATAGAATTTGAAGATATAATGCTTCTATTTGAAAATACAAGGCGCACTGCAATTCGAGTCACACTGGAATTCTCATTCAAAACCCAACTTGGATTTTTCACAGTTTAGAAACATAACATAGGAGGGACATTGGATACCCAAACTCTCTTGGTAACAATCTTAAAGTACAATTGCACATTGATTAGTTTTAATTAACTTCTTAAAATTTTCAGTTTTCTTAATTTAGATTTTTATCATTTTTCTACTACACATCTTATTTATCCATTACCCACTATTCTCATTATCATTTTTTTAATTCCAAAAATTTGAAAACAAAATTTGTTTGACTTCAGTAGTATACGTAAATTTGTTTTAGTTTTAATTTTATTTTCTTTAATCTATTTAGCAATTACAAAGTTGAAAAAACTGAAAACAAATGCCATGATCTCCTTGGAAATATATTTGGGTCTTAAAAATATGCCTTGTACTACTTGTTGATGTGTATACTTGAGCAAGTCTTGCATAATCATTATCACTCAACAATTATGCAATTGATTTTCTGGCCCCAAGAACAGGTAATTTTCAAACTGGAATCAAAAAATTTCTATGTAGAAATTTTCAATTTTATGATCTTTCTACAGGTAAACTTGTATGAGTTACAAAACATCATTTGTTGTGTACAGGGAGAAAATCTTCCAACTTACCAACTTGGTTAGTGATGTATAATGTCAATTCTGAGTCTTTTATAATCTGTTTCTTTTTGGTCTATGATATGTCTTTTTACCAAATGTAGTAGTATATATAGCAGTTGTGTCCTCGTTATTGCGGTCATTAACTTCATGATACAAAATGTCATTATTTGAACCATCATTCTTTTTGGAAGCCTACATTATATATTAGTTAATTTCTTCTCAAGAAAGTCCAACCTCAACATATAAACACTTTTGAGTGTTTCTTTTGTTATTTATGCAGGATGTGAAGTCCAATATATCCATTGGACAAGTGATGCAGATTATTTTATAGACATTGTATCATGTTTAGTTTTCAACGGGGATGCTCTAAATCAATATGCCATGGCAGGCAGTCTAGCTAAGGTACTAGTCGTATGTGAACACATATTCCTTATGCTTCTTATAAAGTTATTAAGATGCACATGAAACCATAAAAAAGGAAATAAACATATGAACTCTCGCTCTATCCAGGTATATCCAAGGCCTCCAAAAAAAGAATACTACAATGGAGAAAGACACTACATTCTGGTGGTTGCGAATGAACTTATTCCTAGGAAAATGTCAGTATCTGTACACAAATGTATATAACAAGACCATGGATAAGAAAACCTGGTGAATTGACCCTAATAAAACAACACATTTGATCAGTTATGCATCGGGCTCGAACTTGATGTTGACATAAGTGAAACCATTGCCATCAGCTACTTTCTTTGCAGGAGGAGGAACCTGATCATGGCCATGATGGTCAACCTCATCTTTAAGATTGACTTGACCAAACGTTGCTGCAAAGTTATTTCTTGCAACTTTATAAGAAACAGGAACTAGAGTGAGTTCATCATTTACCTTTTGCAAAGGAAGATTTTCGCGTCGGATTCTAGCGTTGAGTCTCTTTCTTCTTTGAGCTTTGGTTTCATACTTGTAATGAGTGCAAACCACATGACATACATAAAAGTGCAAGCAAGTGTTCCTCACCTCACAGTTCTTTGCAAATCAGAAAAGAAAGGTCACAGTTCTTTGGTTTCTAGACACTACAAGTTTGAAACAAAGCTCAGAGAAGAAAGAGACTCAATGCTAGAATCTGAAGCAAAAATCTCCAATTGCAAAATGTAAATGATGAACTCACTCTAGCTCCTATTTCTTCTGAGGATGCAGGAAATAACTTTGCAGGAACGTTTGGTCAAGTCAATGTTAAAGCTGAGGCTGACCATCAAGGCAATGATCAGGTGCCTCCTCTTGCAAAGGAAGTAGTTAATGGGGGCTTCACTCATGTTAACATCAAGTTCAAGCCTAATGGATAACTGGTCAAATGTGTTATTTTATTAGGGTCATTTTACCATGTTTTCTTATCTATGGTCTTATTTTTGGGCTTTAGTCATGTTTATGGAGTTATGTTCTATCACCCTGCTTTGGTTATGCTAATTAGTTCTTGTCTAGCCTTTCGTGCTTTTGAGTTTTGAGCACTTAATTATCAATCTTTTTAATTTTTAGTATTTGTTGGGTATTTTTGTTCCCTCATTAAGTTATACTCAATTTTAAGTTGATGTGAATTACAGTTTCATTGACCTTTCAGTGTTTATGTCATTAATTAAATGATTCACCTAACTCACAAATGACTCTTGTTTGTATCTTTCTAGAGGATTCCATGTGTTGGAGCCTTTCTTGTTTTTTCAAAAAAAATTTGATAAATTCTTATTTTTTTTTTCATTTAAAACAAATAAAGCGCACATAATTCAACAATATACATTTAGATTTTACTAAAGGATTTACAGAAAATGAAAACCTAATATCTTGAGGCATTTAAAGTACTTTAACCATTATTGATGGCATTGTTTGCAAACCAGTCAACGTGTACATTGTCATTGCCACATATATTGCTAAAATTTAATAGCTCCAATATATTGCAATCAATCTATGCTCGAATTCTAGTCACTAAATAAGAATCCGAGCTTTATTATCACTATTTGTTAAACATGGATATCACTCTCATGGAATCCCCTTCAACACTAACCTTTTCTCAGACACAAGGACCAAGGATATCGTATGCCAATCAGAACTCCCAATTTAAGTAGAGGATTAAAAAGTTGTGAAATTACTAATTTAATAGCTTATTTAGGAGATAACTACTAGATTTTGGTGCAAGTTGAGGACTTTAGTAGAATGCCTATGTCAGCAAGTCAAATAAAAATATAATAGCATAAAGAAAGCAATTATTAATAGCATCTATGAAGCACTGATTCGTTAAAAAAATTTCTTCAACGTATTCGATACGCATCCCAGACGGATACACTTCTGACACCGCTTTTGCAGTATCGGATAGGTCAATGGCTACTAAATCGTTCTTTTACTACTTTCTCTGACTCTGAGCTAATACCTCTCTCTATTTGCATGTGCTGATGTGCCTTTGGACTTTGTCTCTATTAGTTTGTCTTTATCCTTTGTCTATGTCAGTTATATTATTGGAATGGAAAATGCTCCCCTCTCCAATGACAAAGTTAGTGAGTTTATTGTTATGTTGTCATGAAACTTTAAGGAGCCACACAATGCTCTTCATACTCCCTTGTTCATGTATAGTCCTATATAAGGAAGGGCATGACTTCTATGTAAATGGGATGATTAGTGAATTAAAATTTGATAATATTCTTATGATTTCCAAGAGTTCATGCTTTGATATTTATATACTTCCTATCTTCACTTTCCTTTCTCAAATTTCCTCCCTATATTTTATAACAAAAGCAACTTTAACTTTTGTATTAAGCTATTAATTTTATACTTAACTTTTAATTAGCTTTTAAGCACACAAAAAAAAAGCTAGGCCGACCTCTTATTATAGATCTAAACATGAATTGTGCAATTGCAGAATTATGAGTCACTTTTTATCTGATTTCTAGGTGATTCCCTACTGAAAATTTCGTGATTCATTGTAGAAATCTCATATGGATCAAGGTTAATCATTAAATTGATATTTGAAGAATAATTTGTGGTCTATGATAAATCAATTACATATTTTAATGTTAGCTGAATTCGTTGTAGTACTAATTTGCATCCTATCTAGCACTTTTTGTTTTGCACTGTATTTGCACCCTTTTCCGAATGCTCTTTCATTATACCATTCCGTCGTTATACGATCAAATTCAATAATCTTTGAGGCTCATCTCAGTTTGCACCCTTCACTGCAAACAAATCTCAAATCAATTGAAATTTCAATTGTACTCTGTACAGCCATGATTATAGTGTCAAACTTACAAAATAGAGTAAGTGAGAAATGGATTTTAGGCTCATTATTAAATTAATTTTTTTATTTTATTTTCCTTGCTCCATTTTCCCATCTTTTTGTTTAAAAGTATTATCTTACAACTAGGTCAAAATAGGGGATTCAAACCTGATGCTATAGTTTGTGTCAAATAATTTATGTTTTCCTTCTTTAGGTCTTTAAGCATCATCAAATTCAAACAAAAAAGTTGCCTAGTACAAACAAAAAGATGGCTATAATATATATTATCCAAAAAAAAGGATACATTTATTTTCAATTCTGTAGCTAAAAACAATTACGCTGTCCTTTATCTGCGACCTTCCAATCACAACAAAATTCAAAATAGCAATTCAAATGATACATTAAGTATCCTTTGACAAAATATTGTTACTTTTTTCTCACTGTTCTAAACTTAAATAAATCTTCAACAATCTCCTCTTTCAAATACAGCAGCAGCTCCCATACCTGACCCTGAAATGATGCAGATTTCAATAATGTTATTAAGCAAGAAAATGAATAACACTAAATTCTCCCTTGCATGTACTAGTAATCTATTTATTATTCTCCTTATATGTACCTAATCTACTTAAAGCGGAGCAAGGTGGTTCATGATAAAAAAGAATAGGAGAAAGTGCATTGAACTTCCACAGACGCATTTAAGGTTTACTCACATGATCCTCTTTTTGTTTCCGTTCTTTTCTTTCAATTTTACAGGAAAGAACATCATTCCTTGTGATGCTTCTCTTTTTGCGATTCTATAACAACTCTTTTTCTGGAAATAAATATGCTAACTTATTTAGCAAGCCACTTCAAATATTAGACTGTCTAGTTTAGGCATCAGAGTAAAATATAAATCTTCTGTCTAGCTATACATCTACCAGACTACCGAGTGTCAACTTAAAAGAACAGCCGCAATCAAATTCTCCATTTTGTTCTATGAACCTTGAGAGAATTCTAAAAATTTATCTCCCAGCTTTCAGGTGAAATACTATTAGGCCACCCATTACTATAGTTTACTCTAAGAGGGACCACAGGGGATCACACCACAAGCAAGCACGTGCAAGTGTGACTTGCTATGGCGAGAAATTTGGTAACAGCTTCGAAGGGAGGGGCCATGAGAATTGGGAAGAGAGAGGAGAGGGGTCAGTGAGAGTTAACGTAAGGAAGAGAGACTGTCATGTTTCCCTATTGTAATCTTGTATTCCTACCTCTCATATCACCTTGATCTCAGAAGATCAATACAATACTTAGGGTGATAAGTATTTGGTTCAGAACAGAAACAGAGCAAGTACATTTCCGAGATATGATTAACAACCTTTGTCTGCCCATCAGTCTCAGGATGATAAATTATACTGAAGTGTGGTACCCTGCAACTTGAACAACTCCTGCATGAAAGGCTAATAAAACTCTTGTCCCTATCACTAACAATGGTTAAATCAATATCATGGTACCACACAACTTCCTAGAACTGTCTTGCTAAAAAGGCCGAGAAAAGGCCTGCAACTCCTTGTCTTCCTCCCTTCTCGACAATGCTTTGCCACCTTATTGCTTGACCCCACTTTGTAAATGAGGTGGTGGTTCTCATAGCAGAAATGAACAGTTGTTTGCAGGAGCCCAAAGACAATTTGGAAAAGGCTCAAAAGAGGATGAAAGTTCAAGTTGATCAACATAGAAGGGAACTAGAATTCGAACCTGAAGATAAGGTGTTTCTCAACCTTCAATCTTGTAGGTTGAAGTCACTAGCAAAAAGGATGAATGAAAAGCCCCAGATTCTATGGGCTTTTTATAGTTCTGGAAAAGATAGGCAGTGTAGCCTACCAGCTAGATCTACCCACTAGTAGCAGGGTGCACCCTATCTTCAGGTCATTTGATAAAGATTTCGAATTTATATGATTTTTTGAGTACAAGCAGTTTATTGCATCAGCACCTATTTATCTTTTATCTTCTGTTTGTTTCACTCTCGGTCTCTTTTAAAAGTTTTGCAATTAAGGTATTCCTTTTATGTTGCGCTGAAATATGATTAAACGGACACTCTCCCAGACGCGTATAGTCAAGAGGTTTGTTTTGTTTCTGCAACACCAACCCCTCAACCCTTGCCTCTCATGAAGCTCAAGGAGAGGGAGCTGGTTGTGCTACCAGAGGAGGTCATCAACTTCAGAACTAATGCAAAAGGCTCACCTGAGATCTTGATCGAGTGGCAAGGACTTCTAAATTTTGAAAATTCTTGTGAGTCTTTAATGGCTATCCAAGAATACTTTCTTTCCCTCTTTCCAACTTGGGGACAAGGTTTATTTTCTTTTGGAAGGGGGGAGTACTCTTAAGCTACACATTACTTGAGTTTATTCTAGTTGGGGGTACAACGGATCAGACCCCCACGAAAGCACATGAATGTGCGGCTTGCTGTGAGGGGGAGAGTTCGTTGAAGATATTGTAACAGCTACAGAGGGAGGAGGACACAAGAATAGTAAAGAGAGAGGAGAGGGGTAAGTAAGAATTAACTGGGAAGTTTGTAATGGGGAGATACTGGCTTCTCAAAATCCAGACATCACTTACTGTAATATTCTACACAGTCAATACAAAAGTATCTCCATTTCATTCCTATTTGTGTTTTGTGCTTGGGGATTCTGTCATATGCACTTGCACCAAAACTAATTTTAACTTGAGTTAAATAAAATTGATTACATATATGCTTTATAAGTTATTTATAATTTTTCATAAATGCTCAGTAGTTTTTCTGGCATGTGTGAGTTGGAGAGAGGCGAAAAGAAGAAATCACCTATGCACATTGAGATTACACCATAGCGACAATCCTTGCCTCGACGCTTCATCTCATTCAATAAAGTTGAAACACAGCGTGCACCTAATACAAAATGGCAGCATGTAAGTTCGCCAATTGTAAGCATCTCAAAGTATTATGTCCGCGAGAGGTGAACAGAAATAAATTGTTTAACTGTAAGAGTAAGATGGCTTGTCCTTGTCATAAGACATAATATACATGAGTACACATGTTACAATAATACAAACATATGCATGTTTCCAGGTGCCTCTCTTAATATTTTGGCTTATTTAACAAGAAAACAATAGAAAAGAAAAAAAGATAAATTCCAAAGTGAAAATATCTCAACTTTACCTGTAGCACCCAAAGGATGCCCAAGAGCAATGGCACCGCCATTGACATTGACCTTTCTGGGATCAAGTGCCAATTTCTTGCACGAATAAACAAACTGCGATGCAAATGCCTACACAAGACCATTGTAATGCTAAACACTGAGTACAAGATTTATTGAAGTTCCACATAACTTGTCTGTGTAAATGTGCAATAAAAGGCTGTTATCAATTACATGACCACCAAATCCGATACCTCATTGATTTCAAACAAGTCAATGTTCCCAAGTTCAAGGCCAGCAGATTTCACTGCAGCTGGAATAGCATAAGCTGGGCCAACACCCATGACAGCAGGATCCACTCCAACAGCAGCAAAACTCCTACAAAATTGAATTCACTTGTGAATTGAATTCGAATTTTTAATTTTAAAATATAAAAAATAATAATAAAGAATAAGGTTGTATTAGAGGCCTGACTTTGATTTTCATGTCAGCATGAGTTACTGATTTGGAATTTTTTTGCAACCCAAGCTATTCTAATATCAAAACTGTGAAGCACAAGGTCTCAAGCTTTAAATATCCTTTATTAGAGTAACTTTTTTAGACAAAGTACTTAATAAGCAGTACCTGTATATAACTAGGAATATTTCTCAACCTAATTAGCTTGTCCTACAGGATGCTAAATCCATGTGCAGTAGCCCTACATCTACATGCCTGTTTTATAAGCTTATAGTTATCAAAAAAGTACTTTCAGGGACCTAACTTCCAAGACTTTTCTGTAATATGGTGTTACATAAGCACAGTCAAGTTAAGAGTTAAATGCTGCTTCTATAGATTATATATGGAGTTTAAATACAAGAAAACAAGAATTTCAGTGCTACATGCTAGTACTGTGCACATTACAGAATACATGCAGGATTGTTTCTAGATCCACATCTATATTTAAAAGAATTCCTTTGATTATATATGCATCATTACTGTGTACCTGAAGATTCCAAGAATAGGAAGCCCCCTTTGCACAGCCTCTCTTCTCTTCATGAGGAGCACTGCTGCAGCACCATCACTAACTTGGCTAGCATTCCCTGAAAGAGATAGAAAGCAAACAGATTCACTAGGTATAAGATTTTTCCCAGAGTAACAGAAGAAACAAGAACAGATTTCTCTAGTACCAGCTGTTGTGGATCCATCCTTGTGGAATGCAGGCTTCAGCTTTGCCAGATCCATCAAATTTGTGTTTGGCCGAATACCATCATCAACAGAAACGATAATTTGCTTCTCCTCTCCGGTTTTAGGGTCCACAATCTTTGGAAATAAATCATCAGTATTATAACATTACAAATACTAAAAGGAAATTCATCTTGGCAGTTAGCACTTACCTTCGTTGAAACTGGAATGATTTCTTCTTTGAACTTACCAGCTGCTGTTGCAGCTGCAGCACGCTTGTGAGACTCGACCTAATTACACATATTAAGAGAGTTTATGCATCCTGATAATCTTTTCATAAATTCATAGCACATTAAATACATTTTCCATACTCACAGCAGCCTGGTCTTGCTCCTGCCGTGTCACACCATAACGCTGTGCAACATTCTCAGAAGTGATTCCCATAGGAAGAAGACAATCCCGGGCTTGTGCAAAGGTTTCCACCTGTTAAAATAATGAAAAGACAACCTGCATAAACCATGTTTCAAACAAAAATGTGTAATCCAAAAACTAAAACTTAAATGTACCTTTGGGTTAATTTTGCTAAGCCTTGAAATATTATCTTGTGTCATAAACTCCAGTCCAGCTCCAATGCCTTGCATCAAATAATAGGAAGATTTGGTCATAAAACAACAAACGTGTCGCATTTAAACACACATTGTAGTTTCTTTCGTACCAATGTCATAGAACCCAGCTTTTATGTAAGCAGCAACATCAGCAACTGCCTGAAGTCCAGATGAACATTGCCTATTGACAGTTCGAAGAGGCACTGTCTCTGGTTGACAATTGAAGGAGATCAAACATATATCGGATATTGAGCCAAAATGCATACTAACTTAAAGCATTATATCATATGAAGTCAACAAGTGAGCTCTAGATTTAGGAATGTTAGTCAGCAATTTCATATAAATCATGTTTTTTGACCATGCTCAATAAAGACTAAGAAATTTACCTGGGAAACCTGCATAGAAGGCAGCCATTCTGCACTCAATAGCTCTTTCTGATCCTGGTGCCAGTACTGTGCCAACAACTATGTCTCCTACTTCACTTGGGTCTACTTTTGTTTTCAGTATTACAGCCTACATAGAACTGGTAAATGAGAAACTACACAAAAAATAAATAATGAATGAATGAATGAAACCACTAATCAAGAAAAGAAGCTTAAGATGATTTTGAACCAAACCATGTGGAGGTTGATAACTTACAATCATGAACCAATCTTTTTCTTATTAACTAATTAATTAATCAAAGAACTTACTTTAAGAACTGAAGCTAGTAGGTCATCAGGAAGGGTATCTTTGAAGCCCCCACGCTTTGCTTTGCAAATGGCAGTACGATATGCACTGGTTATTGCAGTGAAATTAAAGTCAAAGTTTTTATAATGTCATTAACTAAAACGACAAATTAGAAAACACACAAATAGATTCGCATTCATATTGCCATATTGATGAACTTACGCTACAATCACCACGTCATCGTCAGATCCACCTGTTTTCCCATGCCAAGAATTCCCAGCCGCACAGGATGATGCCTAACACAAATGGAAAAGGAAGTAAATGCACGCACTCAAGCATTTTTGATGAAGAAAGAGTGAAAAAAGGGCAAACCCCATAGCACAAGGCTCCCTAACTTGGAAGGGTAGAAGTAAAGGTAGATTGTACATAATTTTATCCTTTCATGTTTTCTATAAAGAGGTAATTTTTTAGACTCGAAACTATGACCTTCCGCTCATGAGGAGCAACCTTACCACCGTTATAAACCTCACTCTCAAAGAAAGAGAGAAACAAAAAAGTTGAATAGTATTTCTGTAAATGCTTCGGAAGGAGCAAGTTCAAAAGATTCAGAAGAACATAAATACACAGTCCTCAGCTACATTTGTGCCCCACCTTTACCATTCACCATCAAATTGAATAGCATCCAGTTAACATAGGATCGGATTCGTACACACACATAACACACACAACATAAGTTCTTATGCTTAGAAAGCATATAGTCTCAGGAAGAGACAAATAATCAAAACTTTGAAAATCACCACGTGCATAAACACGCTATAAATAACCAATTTAACCCAAAAGCTTAAACTGTTGGATGAGGCTATAATAACGGTTTTTTATATCTCTAACACGCCCCCTCATACGAGAATCCATTAGGCATGAAGGGTGGATAATGCACAGATCCACTTAACTGTGCTAAGAAATTCCACAACAGAAAGTGAAGGACAGTGAGGATACTTAGGACATAAACTCTGATACTATGTAAAGAACCAATTCACCCAAAAGCTTAAGCTATTAAGTGAAGGCCTCTTTAACGATTTTATATATCTCTAACACACAAATTAACTGAAAAGGAAAATGAAAAACCCACTTGAAAGCAGAATAAAATTGCTCCTATAAACAAAACATACAATGCAACACAATACAGGAAATACATAAACAGAGATACAGTGGTGAAATGTTATAAATATGTAAACTTACAGAAAGATTAAAAGATTGATGGGTTTGAGGTGAAAAAAATGAATTTGAAGAATTGGGTTGTAGATGTTCAAGCAGGACTCTCTGTCTTTGAATTGCTTTCTCCATATTTGAGCAACGTTGCCTATGTCTCTGCTTTTGCCTGTTTCTGTGTTACAGAATTTTAACAAAGACTAGTTGGGATATAAACTGTCACCACAAAACAAATCACGAGAACGAGAAATTAACTTGAAAATTCAAGGAAATTCACCAGCAAATTTCCTCCCAAAAAAAATAATAAAAATACCACCAATCAGTAATGTCCCACCCCACTAGTACTTGTCTGATTCAGATTTTTCAGAAAAAAAAAAAAAGAAAAACACATCGCACGTTTTGCACATTAAGGTGATTAATGAGTGTCTAAGGCTCTCATGCGCGGTGCGCCCAACAACCAAAATGAAAGAGTGAGTGGGGTTCGTAGAGAAAAACAAAAGTAGTTGGGTTGACCAAACAAAGAAAATTGAGCACATGCAAATTAGTTTGGAGATTTCTTTCGAGGAATAATTTAATCTAATTTATGCAATATAATTAAAAAAATATATTATATAATTATTAGAGTAAATACTATTTTTGGTCCTCATCAAATTTTTCGATATCCGTTGTAGTACATAGCAAATAAAAAGACTCATCGTGATCCCTAAGAAATTCAAAATGGACTAATTTTAGTCCTTTTAGAGACTAATATGGTTCTTTTTTGAATTTGTGAAGGACCACGAATTTAACTAAATTGCTCCATTTTGAATTTTTAAAGGACTACGATGGATCTTTTTATTTGCTAGGAACTAAAATGAGCACCAAAAAGAGTATTTACTCTGATTATTAACTTTGATTGGTCTATGGCTTTTTAACCCTCGAAAAAAAAAAAAGACAGATCACCGACTCTTTTTATTAAAAAAAAAACTATTTATCATGCGAATCAAATTTGAATGGGAAGTGTACATATTTATGTGTAACTTGCGCAAATTCCAAAAGCGTTATGTCACATGTTACATTGTGTAAGTTGCGTTGTTTTAATTTTTATATAAGTCGCACATAGAGATGAAATGCGATTTTAACGTATTCATTTTCCATGCACACGTTTTTTAATCATATTATATTAATAAATAAATAATTTGTGATAAGAATTGAAGGTGTAAAATGTTTATATTTTTACATTAAAAGGGTCAAAAAAGCCTTGGTCTATTGTATAACAGTTTTTATTTCTAAAATGTATTTTGGAGAGGTTTCATACCTACTTAGATATTAAATCTCACCCTAAATGATTTTAAAAAAATACACCCTCTTAATTACTATTTCTATGTTTATAATATGAGTTCGTTTTTTCTACAGTTACTGCAGATAAATTATCTGCAGTAAGTTCCATACGACGTCGTTTTGGGACGAAAATCATGGTGTTTTTGTAATTTTAATTTATTTCAGAGTTATTATAGTCTTTGTAATTATAATTTTCTAATCTTTCAATCTCAAAATGACGTTGTTTTGGAAGTAAATGCAGATAATTTATCTGTATTAACTGCAAAAATATTTTTCTGTTATAATATTTAATGTTATTGGTTTAATTTTTTTTTTCTTGCTAATAATTTATATTTAAGTTGGTGATTTAAAAATAATATCAAACCATTCAACCGGTTTAAATGTTAAGTGGCAGTGGAACATTTTTTATTATAGTTTAATTTAATAATCGAACTAACAGTTAAAATATTGTGAACTGATTAAAATCAGTCAAAATTTGATTGATTTAATCCATTTGTTTATTTAGTTGAACTAATTAATCATTGATTTTTTGAAGAAAAAAAAAACTTAATATTTTCCACATTTCATAAAAAAAATTACATATTTTATATTAGTATATGTAAATTATTATTATAACGTCATAAAATTTAAAAAAATTAATCTGAATGAGAAGCTTGACTGATCCATAAAATATTAAAGTGAAATAAATATAATCGTTGGATCAACAGAACGATCTAACGGTGAAATTGATTGGTAGTAACATTGGGAGTAACACTAATTTGTTATTACAATATCCTTTCCCATAAGCTAATATTCAAAATATTTTAAGAAAAAGGGATATTTTTCTTAAATTTAATGAAAACTAAATACATGATAAATAAATTGATATACTTTTTAATTGTTATATGAAAATTAAAATTTCTTTCCCTTTTTTGGGGAAAAAGAACTAAAATCACCAAAAAATTTATAAGAAATCAACTTATCTCATAATTTTACAAAAATAAAATAGTGTGCCATTAAATTTAATATTTACATCTGAATAAAAAATAATAATATCATCCTTCTTTTGGTGATAGTGGTCCAATGCATCCTCTGTTTCTATAAGGAGCTAACCTTAGGGGTCATACTCCGAAAAAATGAGGTTGGAGGAGGTTGTGTGGGGATATTTCCAAATTATCTACCCAAAAAAATAAAAATCTCTTTCAATATATCATATCAAAAATCCGAATCTGCGATAAACATGTTTCACCTATTTAAATTAAGGTTTAATGTTACTCATATTGTAAAAGATAAATTTATCTCCTACATATACATAAAAGTGTATGGGGCCCATACTTTTTCTTTCTTTCTTTCTTTCTTTCTTTTCTTTTCACATGGATCTCATATACTTTTATGTAGGGGTGAAACTGGGCCGGGCCGGCCTACAGGAGCTACGGCTCGGCCTACGTCAGGCCAGACCTGACCTAGTATATTTCGTAAAATAGGCCGAACTTGGGTTTTGAAAAAGCTTGTTTAATAAAAAGGCTGTAGGCCCACTTTCACAAGGCCTGGCCTATAAGCCTACAGGCCGGCCTATATTGTACTATTTATTTCAAATAAAATAAAATATAATAAGTATGCCTTGAAGAAGAAACAAAAGATATAAATTTAATCAATTGCAATTATTTATAACTTAATTATATTCGATTATATTTTAATAAAAATTTGCTTTATTTCTTATTAGGAAGAATCAACATCTCAGCATATTAGATTGTGTATATGAATATATTAAAAGGTTTTTGGGAGAGGTTATACTTACTACAAGCATTATGATATGTTTGTTGGATTCATGTAGTTATTTTAATTTACATAGTATGGATTGTTTGTTGGATCTGATGAAATATTTGTTATTTAGTTTGAGCATTTTGCTTTTGAAAGTGACTTAAATGTAGATAGTATGAGTTTTGTTGTGATTCATGATTCTGTTTGGACGTTGAAAATATGATTTTTAGTTTAGCAACATAATTTGAGTATTGTGTAAAGTTGATTCATGGTTCTGCTTGGAAGTGAAAAATTAACAGGATAACGAGATGAGTCAGGCCATTTGTTTTTTATAAACGGGCCAAGGCAGACTAACAGTTAGACTCGTACCAGGCTTGGGCCAGGCCAAATTGAAATTTTTTAACGTAAACTTCGACTTTTTGGGGCAAAGTTTGGCCCAGCCCAGCCCACTTTCACCCCTACTTTTATGTGTGAGTAGAAAATAAATTTGATTTATCTCCTATAATATGATAAAACACTAAACTCTTTAAATTATAACACATAAACTTATATATAACTTTAAAAATAAAGAAATTACCACGCGTAAATAATTGTCAAGAAAATAAAATGTTTAAATATAACTGAATACTCATGGCTAAGGTTTGTAATGGGACATGTTAATACATATAAAAATTCATATTTAGGTTGATTTATATTTAAATATGTATTATTTTTAAGTTTGTAAAATATGCAAAAATTTATGTCATGTTACATGTTAATGCGTGAATACAAATTTGACCTGTAGTTTTTGGTTAATTACTATTTTAACCGATGAGTTGCATATCGTCTAAAATACCAATCATATTAATATTAAGAACTCATAAGTTTCAATTTAGGTATTATTGATATCGGATCGAATCAACTTATAAGATTTATGTTACATTTTTAACAGAATATATTTTTTCTACAGTCAATATAAATAAATTATTTATATTGAGCCCAAAATGACGTTATTTTGAAGTAAAAATCAATATATTTTTGTAAGTATAATTTATTTTAAGATTATAAAAAAAAAATTATAATTTTTAGTTTTTTAATTCAAATAATATCGTTTTGAGAATGAATATAAATAACTTATCCATGTTTACTATAAAACATTAAATCCTATTTTAAAACAAACATTTGACACAAATAAAAACTTATATTGTGTCAACCAGTGTTTTAAAACTCGGATCGGTCATCAACTGGGTCGAGGTACTGGATCACTGGGTCATTGATTCAACCGGATTCAATCAGCTTTACTGTTCACATATTAAAAAGTATAAACATATTTTCTACAAAAAAAAAATATATAAACATATTACTTATATTAAAAATTCACATAAAAAAACTATCAATGAGCTTCAAGAAAATAAATTGGTTCTCAATGATAACAAATATTATATACTTCTAAGCTTATAGCTCTAGACCATATCCTAATATTGGATTAAAATTGCAATGTAAGCTAAATGCGCTTTTTGTGCCTTGACATAACACGGATAAATTAAATCATGATAGCAAATAGTAGGTATGAAATATACACTAAGGAGAAAGTGTCCACCGTTGAGATGAGACCATGAGTGTTTATCCCCTCTTAACTTCTTAATATCATTATAAAATACAACTAAATTACATAAATGAATTGGACTAATCCAAAATATCTTCTTATTTGCACCTTACTTATTAATTATATTTATCACAAAATATGAACATGATTTAATTCAAGAGTTCTCGTCAACCAAAAAAAAAGAGGGTCAACTGATTTAACCTGGGTCAACCGGGTCATCGAGTAGTCAGCACTCGATCGGATCAACCGGTCCAAATCGAATTGACTACAGAACCGATTCAAATAATCATTCGGACTGGGGAATCTATCGAGTTACCGAGACTCGGGTCGATGCGTCTAGCCCGAGCCGATTTTTAAAATACTGGTATCAACTCAAATTTTGACTTTTAATGGTGGCCGAGCATCTTTTATATATTAAAAGTAAAAATAAAATAAACTAGCGGTCGGTGCAGCAGCATAACGGTAGTGACAGACGCATTAATGTGTATAGTGTGAAACTCGAAAGCCTCCTCTTAAATATTATTCTTGACTGACGTTATACTCATAAGATTGTACTGGAGTTTGGCATTGGCAGTGCGAACTGCGAAGCACTTTCCTCTTAATTTCTATTTAGCAGTAACAGGGTACTAGCAAGAATTCGTAGTGTAAATAAATTGAATTAAGCTTTGTCTTAAAGAGGTTAGATTTGTAAAAAATAATTTAGATATAGTCTGATATGTTAATTTTGTATAAGCTCAGATTATAAGTTTGATTTGACGTATATTTTAAAAACAAAAACTTTGGTCATGCCTGTTAATAAACTAATTATATATTCAATAATTAAATAAAAAATTAAAATAATATTATTTTATTATTTAAAATTATCAAAATAATAATTTATTTATTTTATTTAAAATAAATAATATAATATAAGTTGAAATGTAAATTTATAGGCTCAATTTGTAAAAAAAAAGTCTATAATCTGTTTTTTAAATAAAAAAAATTTTAAGCCTAGTCGTAATATTTATTTGACTGATTTAATAGGTTGAATCTGACTTTATATAGATCGAGTCGTAAACTTTTGTTAAATCGGCTAACTCATTTATACCCTAGCAGAATTTCCTTACGCTTGACCAATAAAATAAAGAAATCCCAACCACCGAAGATTTGTTTGCACTTCAAATTTCAACGACTCCTACAGCCACTATGACCTTCAAATTCCAATTATCGGAACAAAATGACTTCACTCTTTTTCTTTTCTTTTTGGTAAACAATGACTTCACTCTTTTCTCTTCCATAATTCCTTGGCAAAAAATATTTTTAATAGAACGAGTGTCGTAAAGGTATTAGTTAAGATTTAAAAAATAGAAATGTTAAATAAAAAATAAAGTATTTAAAATTTCCTTTTTTAAAAAATATTATTATTATTTTAAAAAAATTCGAATGTTTCGAATTATTTATCATTTAGAAAATTTAAAAAACATTAAAAAAATTCAAATTTTAAACTTTTTTTGGTACTTCCGCTACATAAAATTAAACAATATCGATAGCATTAAAGAGTAAATTAGTGAAATATAATTATAGTTTTTTATAATAATATTTTTAATGAATTTCTTAATCCTTTTTAAAAACTTTAAATGATAGTTATCTTTAAATTGAGAAAGTACGTTGAAATTTTAAAAAAATTTACTTTTATTTTATATGGTCCAGGGGTCACAAATGATGATAGAGACCCACTTGATAAGTGTTGGGAGGGTTGTCTAGTGGTGTAAACAATTGATGAAATATTTTTGGTATATGAATTAAATAGTATATTTTTTAGTGTAAAAGTATAAAATATTGTCAATTTGTCATGTTGTGAGGACCACGTAAAAAAGACTTTTTTAGTCTTTTAGGAAAACACTTTTTATTTTTCAGATTTGGGTTCTTGTCTTATACCCAAGTTTCTCTTTCTGCAACACTTTTTCTTCGTGTGTGTTTTTGCATTTGAAGCTTGAAGCAATTCTTGGTGGAAGCCTTGAACGCTTGGAATTCCTTTCGCATTTTGTAAATGTTTATAATTTAATTAAATTTTAAATAGCTTCATATAATTTAAAAAAAAATTAATAGAATTTTTATATTCATAATTTTTTAAATAACTTATCTAAGTTTCTAATTAGATGTTTACTAATTATAAAATTATTACTAAGTTCTTATCTATTATTGGAATACATACTAGCTTCAATAGTGAGAATATCCCTGTATACTTTTGAAAATGTTTAACGTATAAAAATATAATAAAAAAATTTGTTGCAGAAAAAAATTTACAAAGAGAATTCTAAAATTTACAAAGACAAGACCAACGCCTTTCATGACAAATTGATTGCGGGAGAAAAATATAATATTAAGGTTAATGCCCCAAAAATTAAGGTCTAGATGGGAAGGCTCATCTGTTGTTATTAATATCTTCTTTCCTTTGTTGCAATTGAGTTTCAAGATGTGACAGCGAACGGAATCTTCAAAGCTAATGGCATCGATTTAAATATTTTCAACGAACTGAGATTTAAGCATTATGATAGTTAAATTCTCTTTAATTTTATTAATAACATTATGAGATTACAAAAGCCTCCGTAATTGTTAGCTGCATCAGTGTTCTTTTGATCAATGTTTTTGTATTAGTGTTTTGCATGCACTTGGACATAGCTTAACATGTGGTTTTGTGCAGGGATGGCAATTTTTAATGTGACTCGCTTGTATAACATGAATACGATACAAAAAATTTGTGTTTGAGTTCACTTATTTTATGTTATTTTAAGACAAGTTGACTCATTTTTAAATTTATGTTATGTTTGTGTTGGTAAAAATGGATATACAAAAATTTTTGTTGTGTAGCATGTCAACCCATGAAGATAAAATTGACCAGCTTTAATCTTATTACAGGTTATTCATGTCGTGCCGTAAACAAGATATTCATGTTATGTTGTGTCATGTCAACCCGCATAATAAATAACATACTTTGAGATTGATAAATTATTTGTGTAATGTTGTGTCAACCTGTATTCCATATAATTTTAGAAATAATTTTAATGGAACACATTCCATGTAGTTTTGTAAGCTTAATTTCATAACCATGGGATTAAAATGGGGTGTCAGAGTAATTGTAGAGGGTTATAAAGGGCAAAAAGGTCTTTTCTTCCTTAGATATTTTGAGCCAAAATTCATACATACACACTCTCGCCTACTTTTCTCTTTTCCTCCTTCCACGATTACATCTCCATCTCTTCCCCTTCTTTGTGCTATTCAATCAAGAAAGCCAAAATGGCCACAAATTCTTCATCTTCTTCACCCATTTCTCTTGGAAGCTAGAACCCACTAACTATTTCTTAACCTTGAAGCTTGGGAAGTTTAGAAACTTATCTTCCTTTTGAATCTTTCTTGGAGGTGCCACTTTGGTGGGTGAAAGAGGGGGCTTCTCTTGTTGAAAATTTGGACAACCTTGCTTGTTCTTCCCTCCCTGAGTGATAGAGGTAAGGGTTCATGGCCCCTTTGAGTTTCATGAGGATTTACAAACCTAAGGTTCATGATTTATGGGTCAAATGTTGAAATTGATAGTTGTTTTATATTTATTTGGTGTAGGAGTGTTGAGATTGATAGTGGTTTGGTGAGGAACAACCGTTGGACCCATTATTGGATTAGGACCTTGGTTCTTGAAACTTCAAGAATAGGGTAAGTACCCTAGTTTTATGTTCTTGAAGATATTCTAACTGATGGCAGGTTATTTATGAATTATATCTATTATTCATTGAATCCACACCCTTTGAATATGGTGTGGAAGTGTGTGACATTGGCTTCTTGGACAAAAAGAAAGTGTTGGAGGCCATTGCTTCAAGAGGTAAACTCTTTGAGCTTTGGATTAATCCCACTTAATGTTACACCACACTTCTAGGGAGTGTTTGTTAATTACTTAAATGATTGGTTGATTGTTAGAAGTATGGTATAGGTGCATTCATAAATAGTTGTTATTCATTGTGGATGAACCAATAAACAAGCATTAGGGGCTAGATTGTATGATTAGTGGACGAACTAATATACAATTGAATGTTTAATGTGATGAATTGGTTGCTTAGTTCTTTGACCAATTGAACTTATGTATGGACTTCCCTTGGGAATTTATCCTAAGAGAATTGACTCTTAAAAGTTCCATACGGACACTCACTTTGAGAGGCGGTTCATTAGAGTGAACCTAGTGTATGGGGTGCACAAATTCAATCAATTCTATTTTGCCTCTATGTATATATTGTTATTATGCCATGTGTTTCTAACCCTTCATGCAAGAAAGTAAACTCAAGGGTGGAGTGATCCTCCAAAGACCTTGAGTTTACTGAAATTCACATCTTACCCCGTTTGGGGGCATATGTTTTAGGATGTCAAGGAGGAGCTAGTTCTACTAAAGGAAAGGAGTATCCATAGCACTTTTTGGTGTATATATAGTGATATCATGTATTTTGGAGAGTACACTAGCAAAATCATATTTTGATAGAAATTGTAATCTTTTGGTTAATGACTTGTAAGATGACATGTATATTTAGATTCAAGTTCTGTGCTATGGTTTGTAATTCGAGTGATTAAGTAACATGTATATGATATGTATGACATATTCCATTAGGACTTATGTATATTTGATGACTTGAAGCCAAAATTGATGAATCCATGGGTGGATATTGCATGCTAAGCTTTTGGATAGCTAGGTTTATGTTTTTGATATGAGAAATTGCTAATTAGGTGGCAACTTAGGCTTTGGAGGGGATTACATAGCGCATTATACAACAAACATGGAAATTTTGGTTGTTGTCTCACACATTCGTGCTGAAGGCGCAAGCAAACGGAAGTAATTTCTCAATTTTTCCTGGCAGTGCCGATTCCGCATTGGGGGAGAGGATCTTCTAGTTTATTTTTCCTCCATTTTGGCTTGGCTTGGCTTGGCTTGGGCCCTTCGACTTGATTTTTGTTCCATTTTGAGCCATTGTCTTGAAAGTATTCATGAAGTATTTAAATAACTGAGGCAACTAATCGATTACTTGCTTGTGGTAATCGAATATTTGCCATTGACAATGAAGTATTCGATTTCTTTTGGGGCTGGAGTCAATTACTCATACTTTGTGAGGCCTAAATCCACTTCTAATAAGTTGTGGTACCTTAATTGAGGGAATGAGACCCTATGGAAGTTGAATGAACCTCTTGCCATGATTTGGAGTCTTAACATGAATACCCATCATCTAAGGGTCGGTAAAGCTTTAAGTCTTGAAGATTTAAAGTGGCTAAGTGAATGTATGAACCATATATAGTATGAATGAATTGAGTTGAGTTTAATATCATGATAAGGATAGAAAAAAATTTAACTCACACTTTTGTATATGGATAATTGAGTAAATTGACTAAGTTGCAAATGTAAGTGTCAAAGTAAAGGATTTCCTTAATGATTCTTGATTAATTATGTTAATACCATAAATGAGTTAACACACCGAGTGTTACTCATGACATGTCAACCTAAATTATCACCCTAATTTTGTATTTGTCTTAAAATGTTCATGCATCATATCATATTTCTACTTATATTAGGTATAATAAAATCAAATTGAATAAATTTTCACCACTCAACCTAAAATTTGCACTTTAAACTACAAAATATAGCATAATTTTCAAACAGATACTAATTTGACCATTACAGTAATATAAAAAGTGTAAAATATATAATCTCATTTTAAAATTTACATGAATCACTTGAGTTGGTGACAAGTTTAAACAACCAGACCACAATTTTTAATGTTTCTTTTATTTAAAGCGAGACCACTAGGGATACTAATTGGTTCCTTTAACAAAAGGTAATATATCCTTATAACCATGGAAAATTGAAAAGGTTCCAAAACCATGTTTCCACCTCTTTGTAGAATATAAGAAAACAAATACAGCACTGTGAACAAATACAACGACAAACAGTGAAGAAAACACTTGAACAAGGAAACATAATTAATCCGCATGCTTCCACCTTAAGCCTTGTCCATATACTAAGTCCTGAATTCGTCTTCTTGATGACATCTTGAATCAGCTCCATACACCAAAATTCAGAGAAAAAGTTATGCCAGAAATAAGATTTCAGTGTTGATACGTGATAATGATCAACAATAGCCGGTATCTCAAGAGCATCAATATCCAAATTGTTAACTTTTCAGAGCAGATCAATTTTACCACTCTCTACAAGTGGCTTTATGGATTTGTAACATATGAAGTAGAGGACATCAGGCTCCATTTCAAAGAGCTTCGACCTGCCAGAATAATCAATTAAACTATTTTCTATATATTTTTTTTAAAAAGAGCAGAACAAATTCATGCTACAGAATTGCCTGTCATCAACAGGTCCATCTTCAAGTTGAATGCCTGTCAGATATTCTTTACTTCTACATAAAACAAATGTGTCTAGTCTTGGTTCTGGGACTGAAACATACAAACAAAATAATTGTCACAATAGTAGATAGTTCGTTTATATCAGGAGACATCCTAGCCTCAAGCACATAACATATAATAGATTAAAAGCCAAAGCATGATTTTAAGTAAAAACAGACCCAAGCCCTAGCAACGGAAGACTTCAGTTAGCAAAAAAGAAAAGATAAATGGGAAAATGAAGGAGAAGCCTCTCTAATATGGTACTTCATGAAAAAGAATTCATAATAACTGAGATGCTCCCAAGGATAAAAAAAAATACCAAAGACCCATGATTTCTGTCCACAAAGAAAGAATCACTATTGTTATCCGTACAGCAATAATATACAAGGTTTATAAGATAGCTAATCATGTGCAGCAGTCAAAATCTAACTGGATAAACAATAATCTAAGAAGCAAATAAATAAATAAAAATGGACGAAAGTAGGGCCCTCCCCCCGCTTTTTTTTTTTCTCAACATTTTAGGTTTGCTGGGTTGACAATATTAGACCAGAAATAAGACTTGCCTTCTGGGATTAGCTATAGGAATATTTGAAACTAACAGCAGCCATAAGGTCACGCAGTATTTACCGGGATATCAAAAATATCATTATAGCCATCAGCATAAAGTATTACGCCACATTTATTTTGTATCATCTGATTTGATAATGGAAGGATGCACTATCCAATGGATTGATGCACTTCAAACAACTTCTAGTCAAGTATGTGAAGTTTAGTATCCAAAATTTCATCTAGAAATCAGCAGAAAAGCTACAAGCATAAAGGTCATAATTTATTGATAAAGCACACTACAAAACTGATCCTCAGACTTTGAGTTTGATGCCTTCAATCCAATAATTGCCATTGCCCGTTCTTTCATACTACTTGCCATAAAGCTAGCATGGTAAGAAACTTTAACTCATAGCTGACATAGTTTTCAGGCAAAGCAAATTTACTAACTCAGACACACACAAAATGGTCCAAAAGAAATAATGAAATACCATAACTTAAATTGACTTCTAAGGAGGGTAAATTACCCATGTCATCCTCGTCACTTGTTACAGATTGCTTCAAAAGAGATTGATAATTTTCAGGCAATTTTGATAGAACATTCTCCTCCAGATGTTGTTTTAGGTCATTTGTACACCTGCAATCAGAAAACAAAATTCAAGAACCACCACAAGCACACTTTTATGTTATCAGTTTAAACACATTGGTAGTCAGAAAACAAAATTATAAGCATAAAACAAAACAAAAGCCTTTCCTCCTAGTGAAATTTTTCTCCTCTTTAGATAGCCTGTTCCAAAGCTCATCAGTTTTTTGGATGTGGAACATGTACTTTTCAATCTGCAACGAAAACATAGAATATAATTAAACATAACGCAATCTTTTGAAAAAGCAATTAGTTAAGTATATCCCTAGCCTGACTAGTCTTCAAATATTTCAGTAATTAATATGTCTCCGAATTATTTTAAAAACTGTTATACAGTTAGAAATGAAGGCTGTAAAAATATAATTAGAGAAAAATTAGTATTTAGGGAGAAATATCAGGCAAAAGAGAGTCTGTACAGAAAACTTAATTTAAATCTTGTTAAACATTGGCACATCCACTGCCAATACTTTACGATTAAGGCTATATAGTAAATTTTATTGATTCATTTTTCTTAATTCCTACCAAATGAACCAATTTAGACTTAAACACCCATAATAATCCTATTGGTTTGAGTGTAGGGTAATAGCTGATGGCTACCTTCTGGATGCGAATCCGAAGATATGATCTTAATAGAAACAGGGTTCTATCCAAATCCATCTGATATAAAGAAACCGAAAGTGGGTCACTACCACCGGTGGAATTCTCCTCCACAGTTTCTTCCTGCAAGAAAAACAAAAATGCATCAAAGTTAAGGGTAAAAAAACAAATGTTCTTGCCAAGCAGACACTACTGTATGGGTTATAAATAATGAAGATACATTGACTTTATACGGTCACAACAGCAATCCAGGCACAAAATTTCTAATTTTCTGAAGAAAAATTTGGAATTAAACCAAAAGAAAAAAAATCACAAAAACATTAATTCAAGGTACCCAGTAAATGAAAAACCCACAAAAACCCATCTTAGTCTGATTTCTCCCAGTTGAAAAAATTCCGAAAAGCTTGAACTTTATATACAGGTGTTCAAAGTTGAAAACCCAAAACTGATTTCAGAATGCAATGTATAGCAAGGAATCATTTTTAAAAAGAAAAAAAAAAGGTATAGGTAGAGTTTGAGCATTTGAAAGGTTACCACCAATTGAATCTGTTCTCTGACACGGGAAATCAAATCAGATTCAAAGCGAAGAATCTCGGGGGCTGCCTTCTCGTTACGCCAAGCTCGCTTGAGAAGCACAACGTCAGTGGTTGAAATCAAAAAATCATAATCCTCTGTTGGTAGCGTTGATCCTCCATCCACTGAGCTTGAAGCCATTGATCACAATTCACAACAAAAACAGTTCTCGATGGAGTTTTGTGTCTCAATTTTATTGCTCAGGGTTTTTGCCCACACTGCATTCGCGCCAAAACAAGAAAGGAAAGAGAGAGTACAGTAACTTTGGGCACTCAATAAAAATTAATATACTCATTTTAATTTCTCTGAAAAAAAAAATATTTGTGATTTTCTGAAATTTAAAATACATTTAGTTAATCGAAATTTAAATATAATTTCTTAAAAGAACGACAGAAACCTATTTTAAATTTCAGAAAAAATACGAAGTTATTTTTTATAAAAAATTAAATTAGGACACGTGATATTTGTTGAGAATGTACTTTACTCAAAAAAGAAAAATGTTACTCCACCTTGAGAGTTGAGAGAGACAGATAGAAATGAGAATTTTAGCATCAAAAATATCTTTTTAAGTTTCTTTTTAAAGTAGGTTAGAAAACATTCATATTCGTTCTTAACGTGGTTAACACTATTAATATCTTTGTGTCTTTTTTTTCATTATTGCTTGTATTTAAACCATGCATATAAAATTCAAAAACTAACATAAATGGGAAAATTAGGCTCTGTTGATTGTTGTTTTTTAAAACAGTTTTTTAGTTTTTAGTAAGGGTGTCAAAACGAGTTGACACGACACGAATACATCAACACTAACACGACACGAATACATCAACACTAACACGACACAAATTTTTATTCGTGTCAAAATCTTACTCACTGACACGACACGAATTTTTTGCGAGTTGACACGACACGACACGAATAACACGCAAAATAGGGGTCAAAATGGTAATTGACAAATTTTTTTAAAAAATAAATAATAAAATAAAAATACGGGTCAACACAAACACAACACGAATTTTTTACGTGTCATTTTTTCCAACACGAACACGACACGAATTTTTTTACAAGTCAACCCAAACACAAACTTTCGTGTCATGTCGCGGGTCGACCCACGTGTCATAACTTATATTGACACCCCTAGTTTTCGGGAAAAAAAAAACTAAAAAACTTGTTTGGTAAGACATGTTTTGGAAAAAAATGTTTTGAAAACTATAACTGTTTTTTTGTTTTTTGAATCAAATTTAAAGAACATGTCTGAGTTGTTTTTGTTTTCTGTTTTGATTTATAACTTTCAAAAATAAATAAATATAAAAAATAACTGTTTTCATAACTATTTTATAAAACAGTTTTAAGAACAAAAAAATCAGAAGACAATCAAACAACCCCTTTTGCTTCCTATCTCTTTCCTCTCTACTGTCTCTTCTCTCCACCCAATTCTCTCTAAAAGGATCATGTGCGCTGGGACCTTCAAATATTCTCTCCATAAATGGATCAAAAAATTAAGGAAACTTTACGTAAATATTTAGCAGTCTATGTAAAAAAAACCATGATTCCTTTATTTAAATTCAATGCAGATAAACACTCAAATAAATTTCCTGTTACTATTTCAACATAAAATTTTAATAATTGTATAAAAATTGTACTTTATAATCCACCAAATTATGATAAAAACCTTTGTATTTATTATAAGAAATTTCATATAATAATTTTAATAAACAGCATTAAAGAATATTAATGAAAATGAAATAAAAAATCTTAAATATATAGGTGATTGTGTAATAGTGGATATTAAAAAAAATTTCAAAATGATTGTCCCATTTTATTTAGTGGATATATATATATATATATATATATATATATATATATATATATATAGACACAAACACTTGCAAACAAAAGGTGATTCTTAAAAAGGAAAATCAAATTTAAAATTTATAAGCATATATTCATCGAAATATTGTGGCACGTTGTATGTTATTAATGTGATGGAACATGTTTTATTTCATTTTTTATCAATATTTTTTAAATATATTTACTAAAATTATTATATAAAATTACTTATAGTAAATACAAGGGTATTTACATAATTTAATAGATTATAAAATGAAAACTTCATACAATTGTTGAAATTTTATTCTGAAATTATTAAAAAAAATATCATTCGAATATTTATGTGCGTTGAGTTTTAATAAAGGAACCATATCTTTTTTGTTAATGTTGTTGAATGTTTTCATAGAGGTTGCTGAATTTTTTATGCGTGTTAGTTTTTGAATGTTTATATGCGTTATTTAAATAAGAATAATAATAAATAAATAAACATAAAGGTATTAACCATGTTATCAGTATTAAGGAAGGATATGAATGTTTTTATCACAGGAGCATTACTCATTTTAAAAAAAATAAGAATATTTTAATTTTAAAGAAAACCTTAAGAAAATTACAAGTTTTCCCTATATTTGATTAAAAAGTTACTTAGCATTTAAAAAATAAAAATAAAATAAACACAGAAATTTGTATAATAAATTTTACACCGAAAAGTAAACGCATCGAGTTACAATTGAATCTAAAGCTTCTATACTAATTAAAAAGTTTCTTAAAATATTTGATTAAAAACATTGGAACATTTTGAATAATGATAATATTATAGTACAGCTTAACTATTTATAAGAAAATATCAATGAAACTTGAGCTAGAAAAGCTAATCGCCGTTCGTAACTTATCGGTTGATGCTTACCCAGGAGAACAATTGTGTATGTGCATGAAGGTACCTTCAAACTTATTAGGGCAAGTATTGAAACAAAAGACAAATTAATCATTTACAAAAAAAAAAGACAAATTAATCAAGGGTTGGCTGTCTATATTGAACTTAAAATGACATTATTTTAAGGCAAAAATCAAAATATTTTATAACTTTTTAATCTTTTAACTCAAAACGATATCTTTTTAAGAGCAAATATAAATAATTTATTTATATTTATTACAGAAATATTCAAGTCATTAATGAAATGAATTTTCTTTTATATTATTTTGGTCTTTTCTTTAGAAATATTTCAATTCGGAACGAATCCCGAAATTAAAGTTTTAAACTTCTTCCAAAGATGGTACTGAAAAGAATCAAACACATAGTCTCATCCTCACCTGCTCAATTCCTAACGCCAATTGAACTACCATCATTTTGTTATTATTTTGGTCTTTTGGATATAGTATCCGTCGAAAACAAAAAGAGAGAGCAGAAACACAAGTATATGCATTCAACAAGCAATAAGCTTTTTGTTCTCCTTCACGATACAAGCTGATTATGTTCCACTTTGGGGCGCTAATAAATTCCAATATTTCCGATGTAAAAAATTATAGATACAAAAGCCATGCCTGTTAAGTTTTAATTCTGTTTGTTCTACTGAAACCTTCACTATTCCTTTGGTCTATATATCACATAACAAATTATATCACTTAAGACACAAGTTACGGGATCTAAAAGAAGTGAATTACGACTGTGATGCATAAAAAAGTAAATGCTGCAATATCAACATAGCATATTTCCCGAGCACCTTGGCTATGTAGCGATCAACAAATAAACCAAATGCTGCAATTTCACCAGATGGCAGCCTAGATGCTGTGCTACAATTGTTAATACATGGATAGCAAAATGTGAGCTCGAGGTCCTGAAATTCAATGCACTATGACCCAATCATTGAAGCAACAAAATTGTACTACGATGCAATTGCCATCAAAACAACATATGACATACATTATTCATAAGGTAGTTAAACAGATTTTACCTGAATAAAAGCTGACCCTTCTCAATCAGATCTCTATAGCTCTCGAAATTTTTTATCCCATTCGCGAGCCTCATACTCTTGCTCAAGTAAGTCCTTGTCAGTACTGTACACAATTTGATCCTGTCCTATAACTGTCTTTTGGGCCATGTCCCGAGCACTGAAAAGCTGAAAGTCATAACAAAGAATTCTCAGGGAGATTATGCTGAGTAAACACCACCTTGTACTACCTTACCCACAGCAGCAACCATCATTTAGAAATCTCCTATCCAACATTCCTTCCCTCAAACCAGACAAAGGTAGAGACAGAGAAAGCACATGAAAACACGAGAATTGAGCATGTGGCTGTGATACACACTTACTGGATGTGATCAAGTAACAAGGAACCATCCAAAACGATATAGAAATGAGATGGGAATGCACTAATATAATGATGGATGATTCATTTAAGAAATCATTTCAAAAATTCATTTACACTTTTACATGATCATTCAATTTATAAGTAATACTTATAAACTATAAAGCAATGGTAACGTTTTGATAAACTATAGCCAAGAGTTACAGAAGTATATAAAGCAAGAAATAAGAGAAATTAGTAAAATTAAAACAGGTCAAACGTTTCCTTTCTCCTTATTTATTTTTCCATAAACAGGTCCATGGTTTCCTTCATAAACTTTAAGGGAATATTCACTTGAATTTTATAAAAAAAAGGTCAAATCCCAGTGCACAAGGCTCCCCCAAACTTACAAGGATAGAGCTCTTAACACGTGACCTTCGGTCACAAGGAACAATCTTACTGTTGCTCCAAAGCTCACCTTCATTCTCTTGAATTTTACAGTAAACAAAAATTTATGGAGACAATGCTATCTATACTATATGATCAAGATGACAGTTTCATATATCATACTCAGAATTTTCTCATTTTCACAGGGTCAAAATAGATCATACCTTCTGCCTCAGAGATGTGTCAGGCAATTCAAGTACTTGTGCACACTGCTGCCTAGCTTTGTTTCTCTTTTCAATGTCAGCATTCCTTTTCCGAATAAAAAACCATCGAACAAGAGGAATTGCAAAGAAGGAACCAGCATAAATCTGCAAATACTATCATTCAATGTATGGAGACAGCAAAGCAAAAGCAATACTAATAACTATAATAACAAGGATTAACCCTCATTATCCAGAAAATATTTAACGTTAGTGCAAGAAAAATGCAAAACAGATGCCATAGTAATAACATGCTTTTATCAATAATTTTAAATTTCTCAATACTTTCATTTTATCTCACATGTTTATTAATGACCATAGCAAGGCAAGCAAAGCACCAATTAATGGCCCTCTTTTATTTATTCACTTTTTTCTCATCCTTTAGGATCAAACCTCAGTTAAAATGCCTGTTGATCGAACCCACTTCATCTGGTTTATTATGTGAAGCTTCGTAACAAACAATTGCCATGACACACTATATGTTTGTAGCTCTAATCTTAGTATTACTAAGGTTATGGCTGGAATATACCTTACCTAAGGGTTAAGGTTCGCTTCACAGAGGAACTAGATTTGTTATAATTCAAGTAATGCATTTTATTGGTCGTTTATCTATCATATCCTCATACAGTTTTCTTCAACTTTCTTTCTATTTCTCTCCCTTCATAAATCACGTAGATGTCAACAAGGGCCAGACCCATGTACACAGGAAGTATACATTGAGCCACCTCAAAGTGAAAAGCCAATAAGACTTGCCTACTTGATCTATTTGAATGAACACATTAAATTTTCATTATAATTCATGCACCCATATTCAAGTCAAGCTCTCACTGGACAAAAGTGCTCAACAACCAGTGCTTCCCATCACTACTATCATTCCGAATCATGAACAGCAATTTGCTCCACAATCCAGACCTAATTTATCTGCTTCATTGTTTCAACCCTCAAAACTTAAATTCAAGCTATAAAATGATATTTGTCTACACAACAGGGTCAAATAATGGAATTATCATCTTAAATTTGCAGCTACAAACTACAATCGAATTCTCAAAATTAGCAATATCAACCTATATCAAAATGCTCCTTCGAAAAGATAATTTGAAATTCTTTTTCCAAAGTTGAACAACTTAATTGTTTGGAAATGGAAATAATACTCATACCTGAAGAAGAGGAAATATGTCGGCAACAAATTTTATGAAGCTACTTGGTGCAACTGTCATATCTCTTTGGATCAATGAAAAGCAGAAGTGAGGGCACTGAAACAACATAAGAAAAAAACTAACTAATACATCATATGAAGAGCATACTTCAACATGGTTCCGAGTATAATAACTCCAAACAGATTAAGGCCACCCAGGCCAAAGACCATTGCCCTCTCTGATGTGCTAGTTTTACTGCAATAGAACATTCACCCACGTTATGATTTAATAAACAGAGATGGATAAACTATCAATAAATCAGAAAAAATACAATAAAGAACCTGAATTGCCATTTCTTCTCCTTGAAAAACTTTTCAACTCCTCCAACCCAATCTGCCCATCTTCTTCCAACATATTCTTTCCTCTTACTCTTTTGAGAAGCTGTCCTCTGCAGAGATGGAAACCTATATAGAATATTTCCCTGCATAACAAGCAATCTTCAAGTAAATATAGAAAAGAGGGGAAAGAAGAAAAAACAAATCATTCTCAGAAACTGTTAGAGACATATAAAACCATTAATGTAGTCTCACCCAACAGCTTAAGTTTTTAGGTTAAATTGATTCTTTACATGGTAGCAGAGCTTCGTGTCCCAGGTTCGATTCACACCGCCCCCATTTTTTCTTATGGAATTTCTTAGCACAGGTAGGTGAACCTGTGCATTGTCCACCCTTCAAACCCAGTGGGCTCTCGTGTGAAGGGGCATGTTAGAGATATATAAAAGACTTTTGGGTTAAATTAGTTCTTTACAGAAACCAAGAAATAATTTGTATTTTATACATGAGTGGTAAATTAATGCCTTATGTAAAAACAAAATAGTAAAAATTGTATGTTGCATCCTTATAGAAATTAGCAAGTTATGCCAACTAGAGGGTGGCAACAAGGAGTACTCTTAAGGACAAAAGAAAAAGGATTATCTTGTAAACACCAATGGAGGAGAGTAAAATGAGGAAGAAGAGAAGGAGTTGTTGTGTTTTGATACAGTACATTGTCTCAATATACCTCGTCATCAATTTCAGGCTGACCATCAAATCGTAAAAGCACGGGTAAGATATAGGATTCATCATCCTGGAACCATCCAAAGATACAAGTTTAAATATTAGGACACTAAATATAAAACAGAGAATAGCAGTACATTGTCATAAAAGATGAGAGCAGCATTCTGAAAGCAATATAGAAAAACATTAGAACAATAAATTTGAAAATACAGTAGATCACAAGGTCAACCATTTTTCATTCGCTTAAATTTATTTACCCAAACACAATTAGAGAATCCTCCCATCCTCATGCAAACGATGGTAAGTTAATCAACTAGGAATGCATTATGAGCAATTTACAAGCAAAACTAGCTAATTATAAAGAAAATATCAGGGTTTACTGTTTAAAAGCCTCAAGCTGGGACATGGAAATTGAATCTAATTCATAAACTAAAGGGTAATTTACATTCACCCCTCTTGAGGGTTTGCAATGTAACGTTCTACCCCCAATTCTTCCCTAAATATTACATAGTTGATTGTACTAGTTAGCAGCAACTCTAATTAAGCAACAGATTATAACCTTTAACATTAATTAAATCATGATTAACATAAACATTAGGGAAAAGTCCAATTCACCCCCTACAAATTAGGGTCTTGTGCACTCTAGTACTTGAACTTTAGAAATGTGCAATGCAATCCCAAATCTCTCTTTGTAAAGTGTGCGCTTCAGTCCTCGCTTCTAATTTTTCGTCTAAGATTAATGGATATTGTCATCCTCAACTCACGTGACCACTTTTTGTACCAAACAATTGGTATCAGAGCTCTCATTCAAAAGCTATGGTATCAGTTGTAGAAGAAGATTTTAAATTTTGATAAGGGAAGAAGCTTGGGGTGGTTGATTAAGCCGGAGTAGTAATTCATGACAAGGGGAACTCCGAACACTGAAAAGTGAAAAGAGCTCGAAAGCTACGAAGGTGCTCAGGAGTCGAGCTCGTAGCTGGTATCGAAGCTGGATTTGGCGTTATCCAATCTTAAAAGCATTCTTGAAAGAGTTTCATAAGGGGTGTTAGAGATCACATCAATACTCTTCCTCTAAAAGTTTCACCTTGTCCTCAAGGTGAAGGTCAATCTTTGAAAACATTCCTCCAAGTTCCCATTACTTGAAATGCAAGGACCAACTTATGCATGAAGAAGAGTAACTTCCACCAGGATCCCAATGTGCTTTACGAATATCAATACATGGATATATAAGGAAACTTGCTAAAATGGAAAGCGCACAAGAATAAACTTCAGCCAAGCTACCGGAGGCAATGATTAAACTTGTTGTTCCAACACCCGAAAGACCTAGTAAAACCCTTATGACATTTATGCGGATAGTTGATGCCTTGAGTTTAATCCCCCCATTCGGACAACTGCAAGAACCTCTCTTGATATACAATGAATCATTGCTGAATAAAACCTTACATTGTTTATCATCCGTAAGACCCGTTATTTAAAGAAAAAAAGAAAAAAAAAAAAGAACCTAATATAACAAATATCTACGGACACACCTAACTATTGCCACTATCCGTCCAGAAACATCACCCTCTTCACCTGCCCCCTCATTTTTCCTCTCATCACCAGAATTCCTTACTTTCACTTCTTCTCCTCACTACAACTTCATCTCCATCCATCTACCCCTTCTTCCTCTAGACTAGGAGTTTAGGTTCAAACCAACTTGAGGTTGGAAGTGATTGAAGCTTGAATTGTCAGAACCTCTTTGCATGCAGCTGAGAGATTGAAGCTGGACTCCTTGTGAAGATAACGGAGACTTACATGTGAAGCTGAGAACCACTTGGGAAGGGAGGAAATCTCATCGCTAAAGTCAAGAATCCAGCAATTGAAGCTGCAAAAATCAAAGTTCTACAACTTGGAGAAGGATAAATTCAGCAAGTTAAGGGGTTAGGAGGCTGAGACTTTCAAAGGAACCATCACTTTCAAGTAAGTTATAGAACTTCCTTTGCCTACTCTACAAAAACTTGTATGCATGTTTTGTCTGTGATGTATAGGGACCTCAGATTGTGCTTAGAATGTCTTTAGAAAGGAGGAAATATGGTTAGATTGAATCCTTTGCTCATGCATGTTATAGTGACTGTGAATCATTTAGAATTTTATCTAGGATCATCATGCATGCATAATTTCTGGAATAGTTAGACATAGAATGATGTGGTAGAACTGAAAACAGGTGGGGTTTGCATCAACCCAATCACCTTGTCTAGCAGCAAAACCAGAAAACAGCATTCTGGTACCGCTAACTGAACTTGCTTGCTGTAGCAAGTAGCTCAGCGAGTAGTCTCGTCGGAAAAAACTCTCTGGAGTTACTCGCTGTGGTAGTCTCTTGCGAGCAGCCCCTTTACGTTTTTCTCCCTCGGATCTTCCTTGCCGGTGCTGCTCGCTTCAGCGAGCATCCCAACAAGGGCCCTATGCATGCACATGTTTTACTTGTTGTATGATTACCTGTTAATACAAGTAATACCATATTACTCTAATTGCTACTTGATACATTTAGTATACTTGCTTATCAGAGCGTTCAGTACATGTTACAGTTACGAGTATTTCAGTATGTAGTGCAGTTGTGGGCATACTGACAGATTGCTTTATTTGCTATTGCTGTGATGTACAAGTTGTTATTTTAGAGAATGATAGACATGTTACAATTATTGGTATATTACCTAAGAGATGTATATATATATATATATATATATATATATATATATATATATATATATATATATATATACCACTGGTGCCACAGTTACTATTGTGAGGGACGCCTCACGTGTTTGAGCTCACATACCGGTCCATATCGGACGAGCACGTATAGCCATTATATACGGATTTCACAGCTGCTATATGCGGGTACAGATACAGTAGCTTATCTGGGGCTAAGAGCCTATACAATAGCTTTAGACGACTAGTGATTTTTCTATGTGAAGACATATATATGTGTATGCATATCTCTTTCTTTATAAATCATAGAACAGCCATGTTATTGGGATTACAGAAGAGTATGAAAGGTAGTTTTATAACTTATTGAGATTTACATCTACCCATGTTATTGGGACCCATTTCAGTTCAGAAGCAGAAGTGGTAAACCACCTAGCCCATGGCAAAGCCCTTCACGGATGATGCAGTTTGTGCAAATGTTTTGTTGTGTAATCGTAGCTATTGTATTTGAAGATTTTTATAAGTCTTGTAATTAGAGCGCAAGAAACATTGTTGGATTCTTTGCCTTGTATGAATATATGAATAAATCAGTTCATCTTTGTAGCTTCTAGTATAATTATTTCTACGACTTCACGGGTATTATGGACACACATGGGATAGTAATTGAAGAAAGTAAGACCCTCACGCAGCCTAACGAAAAGAATGGCCGCCGGCTACCATGATTGATGACATGGAGAGCGACCCATTCTCGATAGTCATGCATGATGGCTTTATGCATCGAATAATGGCTATTTTTATCGAACCTGAAAAAGACGACAGCTGGAAGATTGACATCAGAATTGGGTATGGTGGCTGCAAGTGAACCGTTGCAAACGGGGTTGTTTTGAAAGGGTTCAGCGTAAACCATTAGAACCCAATCCAAATGAGCTAGGGATTGCATCCTGATGGATTTGCAATCAATGGGTATAAAAGAGTAATTATCTTCACATAAATCAGAGATTAAGAACCTGAATTGGCTGATTTAGGCTTGGGATGATTCAGTCGTAAATTGGGCCTAAACCCCATGATAAGCAAGTTAGCTTGATACTTGTAATCCAGCAAAGTGGCCTAATTCTTGTAACCCACTCCCTAATCTAGTTTCTTTCACCCATTCACGTGACGGTAATGGCCAACTAAGGATTCCATTAATGGCGGTGGTTCGACTACCACCACCGAAGAATGTGGTTTCACCGGAACTTGTGCATTCTGAGTCTTCCTCTTATTCCTTTGTTCTTCACATGGTATCCCTTCTTTGTCATGCTCTTCGATAATAATATCAGTTTCTGTATTTCGTTTAGAAGCATAGGCGTTGTGTCCTCCTCTTGAGTTATGATCATGTCCCTTTCCTCAGAATTTTTGCATCTCCTTCTTGTACATGACCATCCAATGTTAGAGTGATGCTTGGTCATCTTAAGAAGTTTATCAAGGAGCCTGAGTATCTCCCTGTGGATTCCTTCAACTTGCCTCCTCTTTTTCTGCCAATCTTCCAATCTTTTTTTCCATTTTTTTTTTGTCATTTCGGCACTCTTGGATCAGGAGCTCTTAAACCAATTTGATATAACCCACTCCAAGAACCAAAAAATTACAGAATACCAAGAGGATTTGTAGTGAAAACAAACGTCTATTATTGATATCTTCCTCAACAATATTAGGATTTAATACAAACATGAAACAACTATTCTGGGAATCGACAACTTTTACAGTGAATTACAAAAACTGAGCCCAATACTGTCTTACCAAACCAGACCTGAGATCATGCCCAAATCAAAAAATGATCAATACCCAAACCTAGAAGCTAACATCATGCTTTTACATTCTAGGAAGAAGCCGCTTGTTCAAGCACATTTGGGATCTGTAGATCAAAGCACGACAGAAAGACCAAACAGCCATAACCCCACACACCATTATGGTTGTTTTGAGCAGAATCGCCAAGGTGTGTTCTGTTAGATAAACTGTGCAAATCCTTTAGGAGGTTCAAGAAAGTGGTACCCAATTTCGTTATCACTTGTTTCAATGCCTTGTTAAGAACCTTGTGCCAAAAGAAGAGCATGACGGAAGCTAGAAATGTGTATCATAGTTTGAAGCACAGTTTTCATTCAAATTTGCAAACTTTTAACATTCTTCTTTCTGGGTGGAAAAACTCCGATGATGCTGAGGGATTTTGGGTCCAGTACCTTGGTTTCTAATGTGCTGATTGACTTGCTTTGTGATACAGGAAAGTTTGAGGAAGCACAGAAATGTTTCTTGGAGTTTCCAATTACAATTTACAAATGCCAACCTAATTCTGGGAAATATTGTTGACGAAGATTTCCTACCCATACTTGATCCACAAGAAGACCAGAATGTCAAGTCGACAAAGGAAGAGAATAGCTTTGAGAGATAGGATCAGTTTTTCAGTTTTCCATTTTCTTTTATCTTGATCACCAAAACCTAATTAACTAATTTATGCCAATAAAAAATCAATTTTTTTTACTCATCAAAACATCCTTGTTTAAAAGTAAATTACCTTGAGTCCCTCCGTAGAATCTATATCAAGATATGGAGCAAGTTCTTCAGCTGCAACAACACCACCATTAGATGCTATGTATTGCCCAATCTGCACATAAGACGAGCAAAAGGGAACAATCAAAGGAAATAAACATGCTAAGGTGGATGACAAAAAAGATAATGGAAAATAATACAAGTGTGTGTGTGAAGAATGAATAACTGATACTCTGGGAGTATCATATGTAAAGAAAAAAATACGCAGGACTTTAACAAGGGACAAAATTAACATCATAAAGTGGCAAACGGTGGCAAGAAAAAAAAAATATCATCAAAGGCAACGGACCACTGAATTCAGTCCTCAATTATTACCAACTTCCATCTCTCTTCTTCAATTCCTTGATTGGGATCACCATCTCCAAATACAAAGGAGAACACCTGTTAAAAAACAATGTCAAAATCCTTGTTTAACAGGAAAAAGTAAAAGACACGAGAAAAGACAAATGTCAATCATTTGCATCACACACCGACTCAATGAAGTTCATCTTGTCATTATCAGTTTGTATCCTTCGCCTCCTATAATAGTATGGATCCCAGTACCTTCCATGGTATAAAATAGATCATGTGTCACCAAACATTTCTCTCAAAAGAATAGTATTTTTTAGTTGCATGACACTAGATAAGTATACTGCAGACTGAAACAATGAACGAAGAGGAGTTAAAGTATCAAAAACATCACCTTTATCCCAAACTAGTTAGGGTTGATGGCAGATGAACCCAAATGAAAAATACAAAAAGATTGAGGGAAAAAAAAGGATAAAAATAAAATTGAAAGAACTATAAATATCATTAGAAATGAAAGTATAACAATAAACAATTCAGAAGAAGGATAAAATAAGATAAAGTAAAAATAGAGATACATAAAAAAGAAAATAACATAAGAGAGAGAAAAAAATTATGAATAGAGAGATAAAAATAAAGAAAAGAAGAAAATAAATTAATTAATAAGAGAAGACAAAGAAAGAGGGAAGAAAGTGAGATAAAGGAAAGGAGAAAAGAAAAAAGTAAAGGTAAAGAAAGAAATAGAGGGAGATATAGGGGAAAAGGACTAAAAATGGACCATCTGGAACATAGGAAGCAAAAACGGGTCTAACCCTCCATAATGTTAATAGCTTTCCTCCAATCCATTCTAAGATACATCGTCCGCCAATCTATATTTCACTCTGTTAAGTCTTGTTTTACTACCTTTCCCCAAGTAAGTTTCAATCGACCTTTCACTCCCTTTGTGTCGAGTTCTTGGTAACACACTTTTGTTCTTATGGGAGCATCTAGGGGTATTCTTGTATATGCCCAAACCACCTCAATCTATGCTCTCTCATCTTTTCAACCACCGGTACAACTCTTAGCTTTCTTCAAATATCTTCATTTTTTATCTTAAAATATATCTAATTTCATTGAGAAACAGTACCTATTCAACTTCCCCTACACTTTCAAATCAATAAACTTAGGCTCAGAAAAATGCTGGGCCTTTATAGTACATAATATTTTGCCAACTTCATAGAATGCATTTTTAGAGCAAATTAGATCATAAAACATGAATACTCTTGTATTAAATGACTGATTTTCTTGAATCAACATACAAACGAATTTAATAATACAGCTTGCATATGATGTATCAAAATTCAAATTAAAAAACCAGAAGTTTTATGAAGAAAACAAGGGAAAAAGCGAACCATATTTAACGACATTGCATTACAAAATACAAATATCAAATATGCTGAATGCTGACAGAACCAATTTCTATAAACCTCTCTTCCTCTTCTCCATCTTTTTTATCTACTTGTATCTTGTCTTCCTTTTCTTTTTTTAAGGAAGAATCAAAACTTTCTCAGTAACAAACAAGACACATGTGATTCTTAAGATTTTGATTATCAGAAAACCACATGAACCAAGAAGAAAAATATTCAAGCAATTTCCTATAAAATGCAGTTCCTACACTATTAAAGAGGGGACCGCCCCCTCTTGCCCTATACCCTGCCCCCCAAAATAAATTACTGAAGTAAATAATTACCAGAATAAATCTACTGGATTAAAGTAGAAATTAAATCCTGAATCATATGATCTGCCTCCACGTCTTCCACGATTGTCCTCATCACTGTAATTAAACGACATTATTAGTGCATTGACATCACAAAAATTTTCAGGATAAATTCTAATTGGTGATATGAAAGTTATCAAGCACCTTCTGCTGCTAGTTACAAGAGCAATTATGGTAGTATAAACAATAACAATTGATGCAATAAGTGCTGTCCCAAAAGAAACCCGTATCAAGTATTCTCCTGCAGCCTGTCAAAGTCAAGGTCATACAACAACCAACCCAAGCAACTAAACATCATCAAATAGCAGAGAAGATGACAGTCTTCAATACCTTAGCCTTTTCAATAAAGGGTTCAGCTTTAATCCTAAACGACTTGGCACCAAGCTTTGACCGAAAATCTTTCGGAAACACATATAGAATGTCACCTTCATCAGAGACCTGCAGAAACCATCTTGGCACAATTGTACTTATAAAAAAAATTACAATAAAAAAAAGACCAAAAGTAACAAATGAGAGTCTGGTTATTATAGATTCATCATTTTTACGGTTATCTCTATAAGTGACACCATATCCTTAGACAGAATGTTATATCTTCCATTTATTTCCCTAGTAAGGTGACCCCAAAACCTTTTGAAAGGGATACTTCCGCAATTGAGCCAAATGACCCCACATGCCACCTTAAATATCTTCATCCTTGACACGATCTGACCCGCTCCACATGCCACCTTAAATATCTCATAGCCAGCTCGAAGAACCGAAACGTGTGGGGATACTCAGGGGAGCCAACTCGCCTCAAAGAGATAATTAAGGTTGGGTTAACTCCAAAAAAAATGACAGACCACAATAAGTGAGTTGACATCACATTTCAACCCAAAACCTCAGGATTATAAGTTTTTCGCATTTATATGGTCCTCACTTGGTTTATATCTAACCAATGTGGTTCTTCATCACTACTTGACACTTAAAAACTTGCAACAGTTCCAACCTATGAAATTATGCAAACTATCCTAACCTCCACCAAACGCAGATCCTAGTGGCTTATATAAACAACCCCATCTCCAAAATTCACAAACCCATCAAAATAAATACCTCTAAGAACCCATCAGTATCGGCAGCAAGAGCTTGCAGAGCCTTCTGAGCTTCGTTTAAGTTGAGCCCAGCCCTGCTAGCCACATCCCCAATGGTCATCCTCCCTCCACAAGCATCAATGGCATCCATCGTTCGCTTCCTCACATCGGAGGGCAACTTATCGCTTTCAATGACACCCCCAGGCCTAATCCCTCCGACTACATCGACGGCGGCCCTCGGCACCAAAACCCTTTTGGAGATTCCCCGGAAAACCGTGTTTTGCGCAAAAGGGAACGGGTTTTTGGGGGGCTTGGCAAAAGATGAAGAAGTGAAGGAAACCGGTCGTGGGTGAAAGCAGAGGCGAGAAGTGGGTGTGACAGTTAAGCATGTGGAGATGGTCGCCATTTTGGGATTGGGGAAACAAGGTTCACTGTTTGGACATGGATGATGAAGGATTGTGCTGGGTGTGAGATATTTTGAGGGGAAAAAAAAAAAAGAAAAAGAAAGAAATTGTTACAAGTTGATGATGAGGATGATTGGTGAGATTTTAATTCTATAGCTGAGGGCGTGTTTGTGTCTATTGTGGGTTGCAGGTGAATGGAAGGCGGGAGGATGAGGCTTTCTTATTGACATATTTGCCCTTTTGAAGATTCAGCATCTTTATTCTTCTTACGATATTTATAAAAAGGATTTGGTCTTTTCATTTTAAAATGATATAAAATTATGTTTTTTAAATGAGAAAAGAGATAAATTGAGGAAAAGTGGATAATTTTTTTAATTTAAATTTTAAATAAAAATTTTAATTTTAACTAAAATAATTATTCTTTAAAAAAATAAATATTATATATATAGGGTTTATTGAGTATCATGTCACTTGATGTAAGCTTTTGTTCAGTCACTAAATCATAACCGTATAAAAGTGGATCAATGGTATTAAAAGAATAGAGAAAAAAAAAGAATAATAACCATACAAAAATGAATCATTTAATACAAAAAAATAGAGACAAAAATAATAATAATCATACAAAGGTGAATCAATTAATATAAAGACTTGACAATCCAGGGACATAACAAACAATAATCACACACGCACACACACAAATATATATATATATATATATATATATATATATATATATATATATATGAGAAAAATATTTCTCAAGCAGCTTGAGATATATTTATCTCCGTCCACCCAAAAACTATATCGTTTTGTTTATTGATTTCCTCATATTAATTGATTCACCTTTAAATGATTATTATTTCCTTTTTCTCTCTCTTTCTTTATCACCATTGATCCATCTTTGTACAGTTATGATTTAGTAGCCGGAGATATAGTTATCTCAAGCAACTTGAGAAACGATAAACTACATATATATATATATATATATATATAGGGGCAGGATATTCTTACACCGGTGTAAGAGTTAGAAGTCTTATCCTCGATCTTAACCATTGATCTACTTGTATCCAATGACTCACATTACTAAAAAATTTGAGCCCTTAGATATAAGTGAGATTAATGGACAAGATTAAAAGTGTAACTTACACTGGTGTAAAATGATCTTGACCCGTATATATAACATAGGTTTAACTTGGCATGTCAATCTCCCAATTTGTTTATTGGGTTATATTTTTCAATTCGTTATTCCAATTCAAATGCCTCGTATATAGGTGGGTTAGGGGTGGGGATGACAATTCGAATGGATATGACACAACATGAATTTAGCACGAATATGAATACATCTAACATCGACATTACAAATTTTATTCAATGAACACAACTTGTTGATTTTGTACATTGACATAACACGTTGTGGTTGATGATGACCCATCAAGTCTCTTCTATTTGCAGACTCTGCTCCAGCGATGTCAATACCACAATATGTTCCTTCATTTCTTTTATTTTTTATTTTTTTGAAAACAATGACGAAGTGGATTTTTTTTTTTGTACATGAAGAGGGAACATGCCAAGAACTTAGCCTAAAATGGTCCTACTATCATAAGTACATTGTATATCTTTAGCATTGCAATTTACTAGATCGAGGGGAGGGCATGGATATTCCTTGTAATTGAACTTCTCTTCTGTAGCCTTGGCTGCAAACCAATGTGCAAAATAGTTTTCCTGACGAGGGATCTAACTAACTCACACATGCCATCTTCTACGCATAAGTCTTAGCTGCAAACTGTGTTCTTACGGTTGATGATGACCCATCAAGCCTCTTCTATTTGCAGGCTCTACTCCGACGATGTCAATACCACGGTATGTTCCTTCTTTTATTTTATTTTTTATTTTCTTGAAAACATTAGTGGCGTGTTTGTGTGCTTTTCTTTCTTTCTGCCTAGACATCATATTATTGTTTTTTTTTTGTTTGCATTCTTCCTTGAAATCTTTTCTTCTTTTCCCTATTTTTCATAGATTCTGACTCATAAAACAAAGACTCTAATTGGGTGATAACGTAAAGACCCTTTAATGAGAAAAATGTTGTGGTGAAGGATCATAACAGTCATGAAATTAGAAACGAGTTTCCAGTAGGAATGTGTGTTCTTGTGATTGATGATGACTGTTTAAGCCTCTTATATTTGCAGACTTTGCTCCAAATGGTATTAATACCACGAGATGTTCCTTTTTTTCTTTTCTTTTTTATTTTCTTGAAAACATCGATGATGTTTTTTTTGTGTGTATATGACAAGGGCACATGCCTAACTTAGCCTAAAATGGTCCTACTGTCCTAAGTACATTGTATGTCTTTAGCATTATAATTTTCTAGGTAGAGGGGAGGGAAAGGATATTCCTTGTAATTGAACTTCTTCTCCATAGCCTTAGCTGCAAACCAATGTGCAAATTGGTTTTACTAATGAGTGATCTGACTAACTCGCATATGCCATCTTTTATGCATAAAACCAACGTGCAAACCATGTTCTTGCGATTGATGATGACCCGTCAAGCCTCTTCTATTTGCAGACTCTGATCCGACGATGTCAATATCATGGTATGTTCATTCTTTTCTTTTTTATTTTCTTAAAAATATTGACGATGTGGGGTTTTAGATTGTGTGTTTTTCTTTCTTTCGACCTAGACAATATATTATTGCTTTTTTTGCATTCTTCCTTAAATATTTTTCTTTTCTTTTCCCTATTTTTCGTAGATTCTAACCCATAAAACAGAGACTCTAACATGGTAATAATGTAAAGACCCTTTAATGAGAAAAAGGCTATGGGGAAGGATCATAACAATGATGAAATTGGAAACGATTTTCTAGCACGAATGTGTGCTCTTGTGGTTGATGATACCCATTAAGCCTTTTCTAGTTGCAGACTACAATGTCAATACCATGATATGTTCTTTATTTTCTTTTCTTTTTTATTTTCTTAAAAACATTGATGATGTGGGTTTTTTTGTATAAGAGGAAGGCATATGTCAATAACTTAGCCTAAAATGATACTAATGTCATAAGTACATTATGTGTCTTTAGCATTACAATTTACTAGGTCGAGGGGAAGGCAAGGATATTCCTTATAATTGAACTTCTCCTCCATAGCCTTAGCTGTAAACTAATGTGCAAAATGATTTTCTTGACGAGTGATCTAACTAACTCACATATGCCATCTTTTACGCATAAGCCTTAGCTACAAACCGGTGTGCAAACTGTGTTCTTGCGGTTGATGATGACCCATCAAGTCTATTCTTTTTGCAGACTCTGCTTCGATGATATCATACCATGGTGGGTTTTAAATTGTGTGCTTTGTTTCTTTCTGTCTAGACTTCATATTATTGCTTTTTTTGCATTCTTCCATAAAATCTTTTTGCTTTTTTTTTTATTTTTCATAGATTCTGACCCATAAAACAGAGACTCATACACGTAATAACGTAAAGACCCTTTAATGAGAAAAAAGTTGTGGTGAAGAAACATAACAATGATGAAATTAGAAATGAGTTTCTAGTGGGAATGTGTGTTCTTGCGATTGATGATGACCCAACAAGCCTCTTCTATTTGCAGACTTTGTTCTGACGGTGTCAATACCATGATATGTTCCTTCTTTTATTTTATTTTTAATTTTCTTGAAAACGTTGATGATTTTTTTATGAGGAGGGCACATGGCCATAACTTAGCCTAAATAAGTAGGGACAACGATCATTTTGTCACCTTTTTATGTTAACACATGGATTAAGAGGACAAATAAATGCTGATTTATTTTTTATTTTCTTTTTGAAAATATAATAAACAATAAAGACGATAGAGTGTCCATGGGAAAACGATAAAGACGAATTAATGTCCAATAAATGTTGATTTGTTTTTTATTTTCTTTTTGAAAAATATAATACACAATAAAGATGATGGAGTGTCCATGGAAAAACGATAAAGACAATTTAATGTCCAATAGATGATAATTTATTTTTTGTTTTCTTTTTGGAAAGTATAACACACGATAAGACGAAGGAGTGTTCAGATATTTACAAAAAAAAAAAAAAGGAGTGTCCAGATGGAGTATTTATGGGAAAACAATAAAGACGATTTAATGTCCAATAAATGTTAATTTTTTTTTGTTTGGAAAGTATAATACATAATAAAGACGATGGAGTGTCCAAATGGAGTATCCATGGGAAAATGATAAAGATTATTTAATGTCCAATAAATGCTGCTTTTTTATTGGTCCTTTCAATTTACATGTCAAATTGTTACTGGCGCCACATAAAACGTTGCACAATGCAGCAAATTAGGTCATGTCACGTAATCTCGCTCCACAGTGTAACGAGATTACGTGGCCTTAAACTTGCTGACATAGTGCCGAATAATCTTGCTGCACAGTGTAGCGAGTTTGGTGAATTGAGTGGCAGTTTGGCAAAAAAATTTCCAAGCATGGCAATTCTGTAAATTTTTGCCAAAAAGGTGCAAAAGGGTCGTTGTTCCAAATAAGTACATTGTATGTCTTTAGAATTACAATTTACTAGGTGGATGGATGATGATGGATATTATTTCTTGTAATTGAACTTCTTCTCCATAGCCTTAATTGTAAACCAATGTGCAAATTGGTTTTCCTAATGAGTAATTTGACTAACTCGCACATGTCATCTTCTACGCATAAGCCTTAGCTGTAAACCAATGTGCAAACCATGTTTTTGCAGTTGATGATGACGCATCAAGCCTCTTCTATTTGTAGACTCTGCTTCGACGGTGTCAATACCACGGTATGTTCCTCCTTTTCTTTTCTTTTCTTTTTATTTTCTTGAAAATATTGACGATGTAGGTTTTAGATTGTGTGTTTTTCTTTCTTTTGGCCTAGACATCATAATATATATTTTTTTGCATTCTTCCTTAAAATCTTTCCCCCCTATTTTTCATAAAACAGAGACTCTAACAGGGTAATAACGTAAAAACTTTTTACTGAGAAAAAAACTATGGGGAAGGATCATAACAATGATGAAATTGGAAATGAGTTTCTAGTAGGAATGTGTGTTCTTGCGATTGATGATTTCCCATCAAGACTCTTCTATTTGCAGACTTTGCTCCGACTATGTCAATACCACGGTATGTTCCTCATTTTCTTTTCTTTTTGTTTTCTTGAAAACATTG